TGGGACTGCTTGGGCTGAATGCTGCCAGGCTCTGGGTGACTGCTGGAGCTGTCCCAGCTTGGGGACAGCATGTGGTACCCTGCTGATCTGCGCTGCACACGCTGATGCAACAGCTGCCATGCGGGTACCAGGTGCGGGGGTGGCAATCCCTACTGCCCCCGTGCTGCATGGGGGGGTGCTCTGCCACGAGGCCCCCAGAGGCCCTGATCACCACTGCTGCAGCTGGTGAGTGCAGGGCTTCTTTTTTTCTTTTCTTATCTTTTTTTTTTTTTTTTTTTTAAGTACTGGGATGCAGGGGCCGGGTGGGGCAGCCATGCTGGGGGCTGGGAGAGCTGCCGTCACCTGTTCAATTCAGAAGAGATTCAGCCCAATTCAATGGTCGAATCTCCAAATCTAACCGAATCATTGTCCCTCCTAATTAGCCAAAGCCAAAGCAGAAACAAATACTTGCTGCTTTGCACAGGCGTAATACTTATACAAATGCTTGTCCTTTTTATTTTCTTCCCCCGTCCTCCCCCACCTTCTGTTTTGAAGCTTGAGGTTCAGGCTCCTCCAGGTACCCCAGTTGGCTACATTACCCAAGACTGGGACCCTTGTGTGCCTAAATTTACCATTCAAAATGAGAAAAGGATGGAAGTATTGAAAATCACTGGTCCATGCATTGTATGCAGCTGTTGTGAAGATATTAATTTTGAGGTATGTAGTAAAGTATTCATCTTTCTTCTATTTAAATTTATAGTTGTCATAACAATTCAGTGTCTGTAACTAGTTTCATTTTGAAAATGGTCAGATAATCTGTGGATTACATTGTACTGCAATTTATAATAATTTAATGTTTTTGATCCAATTGATTACACAAAAAGATCTTAAACACTAATCTTGGTATCGTAAATATCCAGGCTTTCAGGTTCATCAAAATAAAGTGACTTTTTGTAGATGGAATTATTTAGATGATAATTTAGCACTTCCGTCGTCTTCAAGTAAAGTTTTGTGCACTAGTTAGAATGCATATTGAATGTTTTGAAATTGTTACACAGGTCATCTGTCTTTTAATTCAATTGAAATAACTTAATGGTAAATTATATTGTCCCCGACGGGCCTTCGAGTATCTCTGCTAGGAGTCTGACTCTCCGTGTCGATGACCACCCTCTTCACCAGGCGT